AAACTTTTCCTCCTTTAAGGTTACGTCAGGTATTTTGGTCACCGTGTGGCAAAGCTGACTCACACAGGAGTTGCCTATACAATGTTCCGGCTTCAAGACCAAAATGTCTGCTGAGAGCTTGCAAATGAAAACCCGCAAAGGGTCAAGAATGACCAACGGCTGGCACTCGAGTTTCAAGGTCATTCACCCAGTCACAGGGCAGTGGCTCCTGAGTTGAACAGCTGGGCTGGAGGTGACAGCACTGTGGGGTCACCGTGCCTTCTTGGGGAGAACAAACAGGTGATCACAGCTGGCTGTGAGCTCTGCGGGGAGCCCCTGGACCAGGTTGTAGAGCCGGGCTGTGTGCCGTGAGATGGGAGCCTGCAGACCAGAAGGCGTTCAGCCAAGGGACCCAGAAATAATTAGAAGAAGAGTGAGATTACCTTTCATGAACAGATACAAAGGCCAACTGTATGTATTTACCCTAAATGACAACAGAAGGGGACCCGAGAGATAATTGGAGGATTGTGAAGATCAAAGGGCTGGAGGATTTGCTCTCTCTGGCACAAGGGTTTAGGATTGCAAAAGCAGAACAAATGTATGATGCTAAAATGCAGTTTGCCTGGGGCAGAAAAGTGGTTTATTTTATTTTATTTATTTTTTTTAGGAAAATCATTTTACTCAGAAGAACTTGAATTTGGGGGATGGCTAAAAATCTACTCTTAAAAACTGCCAAAATGATTTTGGAAGATAGGAACCATATACAAGCAGTGGGGACCAGCCCAGAAGACCTGCTCCAACATAGTCTGTCCCCACTACTGTGACAACGTGACATAAAAGTGCCCCGTGGTGTTCATGAGTCCTAGGTGGGTCCTCTAAGCAGAACCCAAGGGTCAGAAACAGAAGCCCCCAGCTTCTTGCAGCCACAGGATACAGGGAATCTCTTTGGAAGAAATCTTGGCACAGGTTAGAAGCAGAAAGCAAGCACATTACTGAACGTAGAACCCAGGGATGTCGAAGGAGGAGAGAGACGAGGAATCAGATTGGTGGGTGGGAAAAGGAGACAGATGTAGTTTTTTGCAGCAAAATTCTACCAATTCAAACCCCAGAGTTGATCTCAAGGAAAAAAGAAAGCCATTAATAATTTGTTCAAATAGGTTTCCACTGATTTCCTGCAGGCTTTCATGACTTTGGGGATTCCGTGGTGAACAAAGGAGACAAAGCACCCTAAGAAATAAACTGGACCCTGGCGTCTGGAGGTTGCCAGGGGTTAAATGAGGTTGGGAGAAGGGCAGCATGGGTGAAGGCCATGACCCCTGGGAGAGCAGAGCCCAGGGCAGGAACTCGAGGACCTCAGCATGGCTCCAAAGCCTGAAGGTGCAAGAGCCAGGAACCAGAGTCATCTAAAACCAGGACGAGGTCTCTGTGAATCACTCCTAGGCTTCTGCATAGGACCCCGATTCAGCAAAGGAATCCCCCGAGGAGTCGTAGAAAGAAAATTGATGGTAAGGTGGCTGCTTTAGAAAGATCCTCCTGCCTGTGAGGTCGGGAATGGATGGGAGGGGTGAGGTGACAGAGGCAGGGGCTGAATTCGGGTTTTACTTCACATCCAGAGAAGAGATGATGCAGCCAGAACCAAGAGAGGTGGGGGAGAAGGTGGTGGGTTGGGAGATGGAACAGACTTGAAAAGGTGGAATCCACAGTCCTCGTTATGTGGGTGGGTTGATGTAGGGGAAGGAATCTGTAAAGAGGTGTAGGATTGTCGACTGGGCTTGGGGCATGTGTGGTGCCTGCCATTCATCCAAGGACACTGGCCCAGGATAGGACTTGGGCAGTCACTGAAGGCTCTGTGTGCAGTTTCGTGCTAGGGAGCACAGGGCAGGGACCCTTAGAGCTTGCTGGGAAGGCGAGGGGCATCATCCCACCCTGTGTAGAGCACTATCTTCAGAAACTGCCCTGGACACCCCAGAGCTATTAGCCGAGGAGATACGCTTGGGAAAGGGGATCGGTGGACTTTAGGTATCAATGAGGGGGATGCGTGGTTGGGGGTATCTGGAGCTGGAAACCCCAGGTGGCACATAAGGCTTCTGGGTGGACGAGTTTGCTTTCCCAGAAAGGCAGAGGGGCACCGATTCAGAGGCAGGCAGGGCTAATTCAGGTAGGAAACCTAATTCTGAAAGTTGCATAAACTCACCCTGGGTCCCTAGGAGCTTCTTCCTTCTTTACATTGTACTCTCTTTATTCGTTGATCATGCTCAGGGTTGGACAGCATCCTGGTGAAACAGTTGGCTGACCCTTCTACTTCCTGAGCTTTAGCTTGCTGGATGTTATACACCCAAAGAAAGAGTGAACCTCAGTGAAGGGGCAGAGGGGCTTTGTGTCTGCACTACTATAATGTGGGTGTCTGCTGACATGGATGCCACGTTTCACCTTCTATTCCTCCATATGTACTGAGTCCCTCATGAGTGACAGATGGCATGGGACAGCCTCAAGTCTTGAGGGGATAATATCCCTAATTTACAAATAAGGAAAATGAGTTTTATCTTGTTAAAAGACAGACCTCATTTTTAGTCTCATAAAAAGTGGATACTTCTGAGAATGTTTTTGATACATTTGCTGTCCTCCCACCCCCGCACTCCAAGCGCTGTGAATGACAGGCAGGAGAGTCGAAGATGTCCACAGCACTCAGTGGTGGTGATGCAGTAGACCCCGTCCTCAGACCACACTGCTAAGAGACCACCATGCTTTGGATGTTTTACTGACCACAAGGTTCGAGTAAAGCATCACGTTTGCATAGTTCCACACCTTCCGATTCTGTGTCGTACCCATTTCTCAATTTTAATCCTCTCTTCCTGTGAAGAAGGTGATGATCATCCCCGTGTTTGTAAATGTCTAAACTAGGAATCTTGACATTAAATGATCCGCCTCAGTTTACAGGAATTGAACCTCAAACTTCTGATCCTTCATCTCGAACAGGGAGCCCATAGATCATGTAGCTGCTAAGATAAGGGGACCCCTTCTTCCCCATCAGCATGGTTCCAGTTTCAGGGAGGTGGTCTCAAATTAACCTGGGGGAGGTGCCCTCCCCTGCTGTATAGCTCAGGGTGTGCCCGTGGGTCTCTGTCCACATGTCTGTGCTGTGGTGGGAAAAGGAGTCTGCTTGGGAGCTGAAGGGCAACAGGTCTGAGAAATGGTCAGATTGTCCTAGGTGCTGACTGCCTCTTTAAGGTCCCTGGTCCCGAGTTGGTCTACTCTCTTCTTTCCATCACAGTCGTCAAAAAGAGACTCCAGGCCCAGCTGGAGAGCGTCAGGGAGGTCCTCCTGTAGTACTCTGTCCCAGCCATGAACCCACTGGGGAGTGGGTAGGAATTGAGTGGTGCACAATTCGGGTATGGATCATTGCCGCAGTGGCCTTCTGAACATAACAAATATCTAATTCCCAGTAAAAATGCCATCAGAGTTTCCCAGATCCTTTGATGGGGAAAACAAAATGCCCTTCCTAGAAATTTTTCATGCTCTGTGGTTTCCAAGAGAGATTCTCAGGACTGCAAGATAAGGTGGTGTCCAATTCAGGGACCTGTGTTAATTTCCCTGCTCTGTCAAATGCATGCCGGACTCACCTCCTTGAACAGATTACAAACTGCAAAGCCCGAGCTGATATTTTTTTTTTTCTCCCTGGGGGAAGAAGTGCTCTAGATTCACTCAGCCCCAGTTCCATCCTGCCACTTAATGACTGTGTGTCGTTGGTGCCTTATTGAAGGTCATGGAGCCCCCAGTGTTGTTGTCTGCACAGTGGGGATGAGGCTGGGACCCCCCTGGGTTTGTAGGAGCTTTCTCTAAGTCCCTCCAGGGTCTGGCACAATACAGGTTAGTGGCGATCATAACGCGTTTCCCATTCCTCCTCTTCTTCTGTAAGTGGCCAGGTGATGCTGAGCTCTTTGCCTGTAACGACCCTTGCTGCTTTCCATGTCCTGGCTTCTTTCTGAAGTAGCTGAATGGCTCTAGGAGGAGAATGCTCTCACGGGGTGGCTTTGTGTCTCCCGAAGCCCTACGATGGCCCAGGAGGTGTGCTAGCGCCAGGGAGACATCTGCGGCCCTGAATTTTGTGGGGAGAGGCTGGCGAGTGGAACCTCGAGGTGTCGGAGTGCCCGGCGGAAGGCTCTCCGCCTTTCTTGGGATAATTGAAATCATTTCAATTCATTTCCTTCTTGGCTGGACAGAAACATGTTTTTCAATAGTGAGCAAATCTTGAGGGAATCCATTGACCTGAGCAGTCATAGAATGCGTGAAGTTAATGGACAAAAAATGATATTCATCTTCAGTTTATAATAGCGTTTTCCTTGGCAGCACCTAAACATGGGGGTGGCGAGGGACACTATGGAAGCCACAGCCTCACCACCGGCAGACGCCTGACCTTTGTTGTATCTAACAATTATTGGATCTATGGTGAAATAAAATAAAAACCAACACAAGTTTTGACACTAAGATAATAAATTATAAATTATGGAAGTCTACGCCACGGAGGATCTTGTAAACAACAGGCTGGTCTCTTAGCAACAGACCAGGAAGAAGAGTCGGTTGTGGATGGGAAGGGAGCAGACAGGATTGTTTTGCAGCGATTACCAGCGAGGACCAGGAACGACACTGAAGCACCCGCCTGGGCCCCTTCCCTGTCCAGGCCTTCTCCCTCCTGTGGCCAGCTGGGGACCAAAACAACAATAGCAAAAAAATTTCCTGGCCTTCAAATGCCCCTTTCTCATCCATCAAGGTGATCCGGCTCCAAGAAGAGAATAAAGGAGAAGGATACAAGGAGTCAAGGATGAACCCAGGATGCCCAGAGCACCCGAGGGGCAATTAAACCTGGGCAAAACAGGACGGATGCACCGCTCATTTGACACCAGCTGAAATTATCACTCTAAAGGCGGGGGAGGGGACTCCTTTCTTCCCCGCCCCCACCTCCCTTTGGCTTTTAAAATCTCACTTAGGGTGGTTGTCATGAAGGAATGTAGACAAGACTTTGACAATGTGCCAAAATGGTTTATTTTTAAATGTTCCCGAAAGCACCAGAATATTAAGTTGGAGCAAATGTTGCTTGGAAGAGCGTAGGGGTTGTGGTCACGCAGACAGCCAAGGAAGGGCGATGGGCTTGAAGGTTTGTAGACTTTAATTAACAGAGGCAGGCCGGCTTGCGGACCAGTCACCTGGAAGCGGTTTGGAAAGTACGTGTGTGAGCGTGCATTGGCGAGAGTGAGCACTTCTCCATGGCAGGGCCTTTTCCAGGTTCGGGTGGGGAGGGAGGTTTTCTTTAATTAATTAGATGTTTACCTCTGGCACCTTCCCTGGGTGGTTTAGACGATCACCTGCCATGTGTTTGGATGAGAGTCCACACAGAATCTTGGAGTGGAATTTTCCTAGAAAAAGCAGAGGATCTTACCAGCAAATGGTCTCTCTCTTTGTGACGGAAGCAGCCAGTTGTGCATTGTCTAAACCACGAGCAAGGGAGCTGCTGTGCCAACTTAGGACAGGAGGAAAGAATCGTGCAGGGACTCTTGTGACCTGCACCTCCCTGCACCCTACCGACTTCATGCATTTTATTGTTTCCTAATAAAGGTGGCCAGCTATATTATGACTACTCGTGATTTATTTGGCATGTCGTTTTAAACTTTTCACACGTATAAATTTGTCATTTGAAAAGAAGGAGAAAATTCTCTGCCATTCCCCAGGGTCTCATTTTTTGGGGCTCTTCTGATATCTGGAACAGAGGCTCTGTGACTTCCGCAGTGATTAGCTCCCATCCAGAGTTTTAGAATACATTTGTGCTCAGAGCAGTCTACTGGGATGCAATTCTATCTGGGGTAATGGCCTGGTCCCTTGGGGCCTAGGCTCTGGATTTGTAAGACGCCTGTCAAGGCCCCCTGGGTAGGAGCCCCTCCACAAACCCATGCAGAGTGCACCCAGCTGCACTGCAATGACAGCATCATCACCCCATTTCACAGACGGGGCACATAGGCCCAGCTATGGCAGCTGCTTTTCCTTAGTCTAATGCCTGAGCCAAATCCCATCCTGGGAGGAAAGTATTTCAAAATTCATGCTTTCTCCACACTCTTGCCCTTCCCTGCAGAAGGTCATAGTTAGATCTTTCCCTTTAACAATCATTACAGTTCTAATAATAATCATAATCCCTCCCCCCCTTTCTCTTCCCCCTTCTCCTTCTCCTCTTCCTCCTCCTCCTCCTTCTTCCTCTTTTTCCTCTTCTTTCTTTTCTCCTTCTTCTTCTGAAATAAATGCATCACAAGTATTATGGAAAATCAGTAACACCCAGGGTTTGAGGTTGAAGGCAATGTTGTCTTCTTAAGAGTCTTAGAAGATCATTTAAGAGCTGAATTTTTACTTGGCAAAAGAGCCTTTTTGCATGGAAAGAATGCAATCCTTTCTTCCTGTTTAATTTTTTTTTATTGTTGTTGTTTTTCTTGGCACATGTTGAGGAAATAAAAAAATAACCCTGCCTTAGATCTGTTTCAGTTTCACTTTTCTTGTCCACCCATCATGGAGAGTGCCCAGCTCTGAATTGCCCACTTTCTCTCTCCTTGCAAACCACCGAGGTGTCCTTTTCCAGAGCCCCACGTCCCTGACTCAGGCTGGAATCTGGAGTTCTAACTTGGACGTAAGCAATTCTAGTAAGTTCTGAGCTCAGCAAAATGAATTCTCTCGTTTTCTATTGGATCAGAATCCCTCATTTCCTCAGGATCCCCAGCGACATGTGTGCACAGTAAGGTTGCTAGATCTGGCACAACAGACGAGCCATGAAGGGAGGTTCAGACTTACAGCGGAGACGCCTGGAGCTGAGCAGAAACTCACCCAGAGACGCTGATGTGAAATGGAGAAGTTTCTCCTCTGAAGAGGCCTCCTGTTAACTGCAAGCCAGCAAACACCCTGGGGACAATTTCCTCCTAGGACCTGGAGGGCGGTCACCCACCAGGCCACTGGCCTCAGCACCTGCCCTTGGAAAGCAGTGGGGAGGGGCAGCAGAGAGGGAGCCAGAGCTGCTGCGGCTCAGGTTTCCTCTGGGTGGCAGGACCCGGGCCTCACCCCATGCAGGCGCCTCTCCACCAGCACCTCCAAGCTCTGCTCCTCGCCCCACAATGCACTGCGCCCTGGCAGCCGTTCAGCAGAAGACTAAACAGTTGGCCCCATTTCAACACGGCTGCCAAGATTTGGCAACCAGAGAGTTGCAGGGAGGCAGCAGGCTGCTAAACCCTTTCACATTTTTAATTAGATCCACACACCCATGTCTTTGAGCTATCATAAATATACAGATGACATAGAGAGTATTATTCAGGGTTAATAAAAAAAAAAAAAAAAGGAAGCAAACTCTACCAGGGTGTATCTTATCTTAGGAAAATAATTTACCTAGCACTTGTTTGGGAACTGAGGAGGTAAAAGAGAGAGAGATGCTCGCACAGGTAGACCCAGGTCTGCAGGAGCAGCTTCCCAGAATCTGAAGCCACCGCCTCTGGTGTGGCTGTGGTCTGGCCTTTGAGAACGTCACCAGGAGGGGGCATTCTTGGAAGGGCTCAGCTACACAGCAGCCCTGAATGCTGGGCATTGAGGAGTTGTCCTGGAAGCCAGTCTGCCCCCTTTGCTTGGTGACAGCCTTCAGGTCACGGCAGAGCTATGGAGTTTGCACCTTTGCCCAAGAAAAGCAGCAACTTCCATATTCAGGGCTGCTTTCTTGCTCTTCTCCCTGTATCTCCTTTTCAGCTCTGTCTTGACATCCTTCAGGGTAAAACAGTTTCCACTGCTTCTTAGTCTTCTGAATCTTGGGCTACACCGTGCTCTGCTGGACCTGCTGAGAGCCAGCCTCCCCCCACCCCTCGACTCCAGGAGATTCTGCGGGGGATGGGAGAGAATTCCAAGCCAAGGACCAGAGCTGCAGGCTGCAATGGCATTTTGCTATGTGGCTTTCTTTGGAAGTCTGATATCAAAGCCTTTCACTTTGGTTCCTTGTCCTGAAAGATCCCAATAGAGTTCTGGCCTCAGAGATTGACCTGGGGTTCATAGTGCAGTGAGTGCCTGAGAGTTATTATTACTGGAACATTCAAGCGGCACACGTGCCTCTTAGAGGCCAGCTGCCAATCATCAGCGCCACCGTGAACACCACCAGTGTTGGCTCTTCTTGGAATCTGTGGCCTCAGCTCTGTGTCTCCTCTCCTCTGTGGCCAAGACGACCCTTTCTTCTCAGGCAGCAGACTCTGGCTGGATTATCTTGCTGCAAGCTGAGGGCGAGCAGAGCTGCCCGGGTCTCTGCACACCAAATTTTAAGGATGGATTAAGAAGGACAGGGAAACACTGGAGAAGCCAAGAAAGAAGTCCCTCCAATTGCCCCAGCGGAGAGGGAGAGTGCAAACTTCACCAATAGAATCATCTCCGCAATCAAACACCCTCTGCTCTAAGCCACCACACGTGTGCACACCCATTTGCATCCTCTGTTTATGGTGAGCTCTTTGCACACCATTGGGTCCCTCCAGGGGAAAACCAGAGCATGCTGTGGGCATTCTCAAGTGTTGGGCCTCTTCACTCCTGTCCTTTCATTTATTTCCCTGCTGTGGGACTTGAAGACAGACCGGGGTTTACTGCAGCAGCACTTCTTTTCACCTTTTCTGAAAATAGTACAATTGAACGAACTGGGAGGACCTTGTCCAAGTAAATGGCTTGAGGCATTTCTAGGCTTAAAGAGTCTCTTTCACAGGTGTAACCACGGATGACAGGCATTGGCCACTAGACCTGGGCTTTCCCATTTTTCCCCCACAGTCCCCTTCTTTCCTATGCATCTCACTTCCTTCTCTCTGGCACCCCACCCCACAGGATACAGAGAATTCTTTTTAATTAGGAGAAGAAAAAGGATCTAAGCTGCTTACATGGGCATCATGCAACACGTACATGCACACGATGAAACAGAACAACTGTGAGAAGAACATCTAACCTTGCAATGAAAGCAGGGGAGCTACTGCAGCTGCAAGAGACAGTGACATTGAACTCAGGTTGAGTCCCAGTACCTCCAGGTCCTAATCAAGCTCAGGTAGGGACAGTACTCCAGTTATTAGTTGTTACTTATACTAGAAGCTGCTCTGTGAGAGAAAAACAAAGTGTACTCTGGATCATGCCCTTTCTGGAGCAGGAGGTGTCAGGCTGCTGTCAGTCATGGTTGTGAGGCATCACCATCTGCTGCCCATATGTCACTTCCAGGATGGACCAAAGCCAGTGGCACTCCACCTCCAACCCTTTCTGAGCCCTCCATAAGGTGGGCAGGTGAAGAAATACATGCATTGAATGTATTTAAGCCTGTATGGGTTTGCTTGTGCTGCTATAACAAAGTACTACAGACTAGGTGGCTGAAACAGATAAATTTATTTTCTCACAGTTCTGGAGGCTAAGTTCAAGGTCAAGGTTCTGTCTGATTTGATGTTTGATGGAGGCTTCTTTCCTAGCTTGCAGACATGGCCTTTCCATGGTATATACCTTTAGGGAGAGAGGGGAACCTTCTGGGGTCTCTTACAAAGACACTAATCTTATTGGACAAGGACCTTACCTTACATTTAACCTCAATTACTTCCTTAGAGGTCCCATTTCCAAATATAGCTTCTTTGGGGGTTAAAGCTTCAATGCAGGCATTGTGGAGGAACAGAAATTTTCAGTTCCTAACAAAGACATTTTGTATGCAATCTGGAGGAGATGCGACCAAGCTGAGGTTCTGCTTTCACTGTGCTGTCTGTATGTTCTGTGGCCTTCCTCAAGGTAGGCAGCTAGCACCCATGCCGTTGGGTTAAGTGTTAGTCCTGCCTGGTCAGTGCCCAAGCCTCGCTGGCTTTAAAATAGTTTTACTATCACATTTGATGATCATAATCCATTATGATGTCAGAAAACACTGTCCCCCAGGGTGGCCAACACAGTGCCACCACCAGTCCAAATCCCCACAATTTCCACAGCAGCGTCCCAGTCCTGCTACAGCTAGGAAGCAGGTCCAGGTGTGTAGGTAAAGGGCATGGAGATGAAAGACACTTCTCTGATGCTTCCAAACAGTGTATCCTTAGGAAACAAAGTGACTTCTTCGACTCTCCAGTATTTGGCAGGGACACTCAAGTTGTTATTGTAGAACACAAATTACTTAAGGAGTTGAAAGCAGCTCACACAGGTTCTGTAATTTGGTATCTGCTCCCACTAAACGATTACTCTCTTGCTCTCATTTCACTATTAGATGGAATCCTACAGGATTGTCAGAAATGATCAAACATTGGCAACTTCATACAGTTCAAGCTAACAGATTATAAAACTGTTCTGGACAAATGCGATGTTTTATTTAACTGTATCCCTTGCTGTCCTGGCTACTGAGCGAATGTTGAACCAGGTAGCTGATGAACACCCACTGTTCTTGTATCAGTCCAGAGGTCTGGGTGGAATGGTGGCCTGGGACAGGGTGCAAGGGGATGGCCCATAGGTAGATGCATCCACAGCTTTCCCACCTGCCTTCCACCAGGGTGAAAGGTGTCAGGTGAAGCAGTGGGGTCCTGGGGTGGGGGGCAAGGGGCTGGAGGGGAGGCACAGGAGAAAGCCTGTCTATTTCACATGTGGCCAGATGCTTGTCTGATGATGTAGAATCCAACAGATGTGAGGTCTTTAACCCTAGCCTTTCCAAAAGCAAGTGTGAAATCTTAGGCAGATCACTCATCTCTCTAAGCTCCTCGCTTGTGGAAACGGCCTAGATCTCCCAGGAACTTTGGGGCCTCCCAGAGTTGTCTAGATATTAGCACATACCCAGCCCCTTTCCCAGGAGGGGTTCAGTCTTGTGGGGAACCCCTCAACTCTCCTGTTTCTTCTCCAGCTCAGCCCTGACGCTGGGGCAGACCGAGGGGCTACTAAATGAATACAGAGCAACAGAATTCCAGGGGGCCCACGTCATCCCAGAGACTTCTAAACCGCACTGAGGGATTTACCAGGAAGCCGGCTGGCGTTCCCAGAGCCAGCCCTCTGAATTCCCTGTGCTGGAACTGCCTCCGCCGGGAAGTTAGCTGCAGTCCTGCCCCCTGGGCACCATGGAGGCAGCACAGCAAGAGGTAAGCCTGGGCGGCAGTGGGAAGCTCCCGGGGGAAGTCAGGTAGACAGCGAGGACTGCTGGGACAACAGAGAAGTAATTTGTCTTGTGCCTTTTGAACCAAAGAATGAAATAAACCAAAGGAACTTCCAGGTCATGGTGCAGATGCTCCTTGACTCATGCTGGGCTTAGGTTCTGATAAACCCGACGGATTTGAAAATATCCTAAGTCAAAAACGCCCTAACGGCCGCCCCATGGACGTACATACAGGTAAATTCCCTGTGGCCTATTCAGATGTGCACGGACCATAACTTGGTCCGTTTCGTTCTGAGGATCCTCCCTTTCCCGTCCCTCCTCAATCCCCCTCAGTTGCTCTTTCTGCTCCATTGATCTCCCTTTGATTTCCATTGGGACCCCACCCTACAACTCCCCACCCATCCCCACTTCTTTTTTTTCCCCTCTTTAGCTTCCACATATGAGGGAGAACACTGGGTGGGCCCTGGACGTTCTGAGCCTGCCTTATCTCACTTTGAGCATGGTGCCCTCCAGTTCATCCATTCAAGGGGAACAGGGAGGAGGTGGAGAAGAGGAAGTCCTGAGGACTAAATTGGGGCAAATTATGTCCCATACATGCACAATTATATCAAAATGAACCCCAATATTGTGGATAACTACAATGCACTAATAAAAACATTTAAAAACCATGTTTAATAAACCTAACCTTCAGAACATCATGGTTTAGACTAGACTATCCCAAAAGTGCTTGGAAGGCTCACTCCAGCCAACAGTTAGGGGAAAAACACCTAACACAAGCCCGTGTTGCAATCAACTGGAATGTCTCCTGTAATGTATTGAACACTGTGCAGAAAGTCCAAACGGAAGGCCAGATGGGTGGCCCTCAGGCCATCAAGAAGCTGAAAAATCCTAATGGAATCTCCATGAATTGGCTTATGCTGGGGTTATGTTCTGATAAACCTGACGGAGTTGGGGACCAGGAGTTGGAGATGATCTGTGCATCCTCTGTAACCCAGGCAGAAGGTGATAAAGATCAACACCCTCACCTTTAGCATAACAAAAGATTGAAGGAACATTTATGGAGTACCTACTGTCTTCAGCACCAAGCCAGCTCAAGAGCCCATGAGGTGAAGCAGATCACGTTCATCTACCGCTTCTACATACCAATGTTGTTCTACACAGAAACAAAATGAAAGATCTTCCCTGCTCACCTGAGTAGGCGGTCTAGCTCAAGAGATTGGCTTGACACATAGGTAGAAACTGCAAAGAAGATGTTTTCTTTATTTTCATTTTAAATATTGCTCACCACTTTGAACTTAGTCTGGGGATGGAGAAAGGGCTCAATCAACTTGCGTGTGATGGATTTAAGCAAAGAATGGGCCAGGTAGAGCAACTCAGTCTCAAAACAAGGAGGAACGCTCATCGGCCAGCGCTAGGACTGCTCTCATTGTAATTGCTCCACCTGGGTGCCAACTTGCCTGCGTTTCCCAGAAGCCAAGGCAAAGGGAATACTGGGTCAATTGTAAACTTTCATTTATATTTTGTTTTATTTTTAAGAAAAGAGGACACAAACCAGATCCTCTAGGGAGATCTAGTCAGTATCATGGATGGAGTCCAAACCATTAGCTTTTAGAATAAATGCACAGCTAATCCCCTACGACTTTCATAATGGCTCTCCATAAAAGTCAAAAATGGAACAAAACACAGATCAGAGGGAGGTGAGGTCCAAGTGAGTAGTTTTTGTTTTTTTT